CAGGCCCCTAGTTCTCAGGTGTGATAGTCCCACTCTGTTGGATGCAACAGGGTCACTTCCCTACGACCCTCTACATTCGCCTAGAGAGGAAGTCCCACTACCCAACAAATGCATTATCATATGGCAGGTGCTTTAACAATCTAAAGCATTATCACGTCACCCTATAACAAGATCTTACATGTCTTCTCCCACACCAAATGCATTACAGTGTGGAAGGTGCTTTAACAATCTTGTCATTCTTTTTCTTGCTACCTTCATCAAATTTTTGGTAGCTCTTTCTAGACTATTTTGCCAGTTTATCACTTACCATCCGAGTAATTATTTAACAAAATTTGTCATTTTCTCATATGTCACTGAAATACTTCAATGTCGGGTTTTGGCTTCTTTTCTTTAAAGTCCATTTATCTGGTCAATAAATGGATCTCGAATACAAAATAAATCTTTCAAAATAAAATAAATCTACAACAAACATATTAAGGCATTCAATAATATAGTTCTGCTTTCAATTTCATTCTTCCACTAACCTGATTCTAACACCACTTTGTCGCACCTTAGGATCTATAGTGAAAGAATTATATCTCTTTTCTTTCTTTTCATATTATTTTCTTATTTTCAGTTAACAACCAATGCACAATTATAACCATATCATCAACTACTAGAGCTCACTACTTGCATTCAAGAAAATATAAATAAATATAAATAATGGAACATAAACTTACATTACTTCAAGGTCCACAATATATACATTTTATTGTAAGGTCTAAAAATATATATACAATAGCCAACATGCTACAAAAGAATAAATATAAAACCAAAGAGATGAGAATAAAACTAAACTAGCATCACCAACTAACCTCACACTGCAGGATCCTTAACCTTTATTAAAAATCACATAAAGAGTATCAAAACCTAGCAATTAATCAAAACTTATCATTGTCAATGAAAGATAAAAGAATCAATATGTCTGCTCCAGATATAGTTTATATCAATTAATAATTAATAATAAGTTAGTACATGTAATAAGTATTCTATAAAATTTATATTAATCAAGAGTAAAACCAATATGGTTAGTAAAGTCAAAAGAGGTCTATCAACTATAAGAAATAATCGGTAAAAAGACTATCAATTAATGGGTCATGTCAATATACTATATTATATTGTATCAATATTAATATTGATTTTATCTGTTTCATATTAGTTCTATTTATCAATTAGTTTAATACTATCATGTAAATACAATCATGATTGTAATTATGAAGAACAAGGCTGACCTATAGCTTTAATGTGGTGTTTTCAGCATTCCATTCCAATTATCGATCAGTTGGTTATCAATTTTAATTAATCCCAACTATCGACTAGTAGTCATTAGTTTTAATCTTATTATCATTATTCATTATCTTATGTCAATTCACAGGTGATCTTTAACAACTATTGAAGAGTCATCACTCTCTACCTATCGACATTATTCAATCAATGGTTATAGCCTACAACTAAGATCACACCACCAACCTTTTATTTTATGAAATGTCCGTAAGCCCACCCTCCTACATAGAATTATATTTAAAAAGTCAATTCATATTAATTATAGTGTTAGTAGTCAGCCTTTCTTGCTTACAAATAAATCTCGCATTTATTTTACATCAATCTTATCATTTTTTCTATGCATGGAAGTCAATACATGTATGAAATATTATAATTCATGAAATACATGAAAATCTACAAAATCTATATAATATGCATCTTCTTCAAAAATCATAGCTTTTAATTTCACGGGTGAAATTTAATAATATTGCAGTTAAAATGTTTGTGGTAATCATATATATCATGTAGAAAAAGTTACACTATGAAAGCTCGATAATCTAGAAGAAAATTGTATTTTTTATCAATTTTAGAAGATAAAAATATAAAAAATAAAATCATCAAAAATAAGAGTAAGAGTATAATCACTTACATTGATCAAAATATTTTTTATAATAGGAGCGATGATGTAAAAAGCCATAGAGAGCTTCCTCTCTCTTCTCTTTCTCCTCTCTTCTTCCCCCTTCTTTTATTTTTCCTCTACTCCAATTCCTTCCCGGCTAAATTGTGTGTGAGAGTGAGGAAGGGAGTGAAATGTCAAGAATACTTATATTAAAATATATAAAAACTCATTTTAGTGTCTGGCATCACGTCGCTTCAACGTGACACTACTGCAACATATGTGCATTCCCAAGTTATTGTACAACAGAAAGCATCTGCATCACAACAGCTTTTTCTAGTGCCACCACTCGTCCATAGCTTGCACTGTAATGCTTTCTAGCTCAACATTGTAGCGCTCCATTAAGATTTTCATATTTTTTTCTAATAAGTTCTTTTTTAAAAATTTTAAGTTATTACAAGAACATCCACTGTTTGAGTTTCCCATGAATGGTCAAGCATTTCCATAATTTTTAAAGTTAAATATAAACAATTATTAATTTATATTATACATATATATA